TGAAACATATATTTAATAAAACCCAAATATATTTAAAACATCAATCTTCTATGATACACCTCATTATGCAAATCACCAATCTTATAGGATACACCTCATTATGCAAATCATCAATCTTCTTAAAAACAAAATATTATAATATATTTAATAAAACCCAAATATATTTAAAACATTAATATTTTACCAAATAAACTAAATAAAAACACAATAAAAGAAAAATATAAACTCATAATTTAAAAATGAAGGCTAATTACATTGAACAAGACATGTCAATGTCAAATCCTGAATAAAATATGAATCTATAACATAACAAACATCTAAACTATTTAATTTATCGCATTTTTGAATGTTAAGAACATATGATTATGAAGAACAAACACCCGTGCGGACGCACGGGTTAAAAACTAGTCTAAATTATTAAAACTGAATTACGAATTTGAAATATCCCTTAATTTTCCCCAGTAATTACATCTTTATGCCATTAGATTTATTTGTCATTTACTTGCAATCATAATCTATTTAAATTGTTATGGCTTAATAAAACCAATATTCCACCTACCTATTTATAAGGAACTAATCTTTATATGAAATTCTACTTATGAGAAATTTTTATAGCATAATCTTCATCGCAAGTTTTTTAACAAATACAAAGCTAAAAATTTAAATGCAACTAACCTAATAAGTTAAGATATTAAAACTAAAAAGAATGTTTATTAATAACTTTAAAATATATATTCCATACATTTTGAAATATATAATAAATGTATATACATTTATAATTAAAATACCATCTAATATCTGTTTATTTATTAATAAGAACTAAAAACGTATATTCAACATAAATAACAGATTATTATAATAAAATAAATAATATATATAAAAAAATAATTCACCTAAATTTGGGTTTTGTACGTGGTGCAGAGAATAGTTATGTACTATCATCACATTGATTGTTATTGTATGGTGCTCTAGGCATATGATTGTTCTGTGAGGTGTACTAAACACTGTGTTTGTCTCATGTTAGAGCTATGCCTACATAGTCGTACTGCTATGTACTGAATCAGTGATTTGCGTGTTTATCACCCCATACCTCACTGAGTGACTCCCTTGTTACTCACCCTTCTTTCTTTACCTTTTCAAGTTAGACTGACGGCCATGAGTGATCATTTCGGATTGGTGCTTTTGGGCGTTCTATTTATTTATTTTTCCATACTCTTCGGTTTTATGTTTTATCGCGATTAATTGGATTTTATTTTATTTATTGAATTTATGGAGATGATGTTGACATTTGAGAAGAAATAAATGGAGATTTCAGAAATTATTATTTATATTATTCATTTCGAAAGTACAGATGTTACAATTTGGTATCAGAGCGGGTTCCATCCCGGCTCCGACCCAGAATAGCGATCTGTGAGGACACGATTTTTATCGGGTTTTAATGATTTCTAAAATGATTTTGGGGACCTGGTAATTTTTAAAATAAAAACAATAACCTTTTCGGTTTTGTACTTGGCTTGCATTACGAAACCGTTTAACAACTGGGGATCGAATGGTGGCATGGAAAGTTGGCATAGATGGTAGCTGTGTCCTCTGCAGTCAGCACTTGGAGACTCGAGACCATATTTTTTTCTCATGTTCTTTGACTTCCACAGTGTGGAGGAAGCTGGTTCAGAACCTTTATGGAGTCCACTTCTCTACAGACTGGCCTACCATTGTGGAGTTTTTGTCTCAGTCCGAGGACGACCGTATGAATTTCTTCCTGGCACGATATACCTTCCAAGCTGCAATTCACACTGTTTGGAGGGAGAAGAATGCTCGTAAGCAAGGTGAGGCTCCGTCCTCCCAGGAAATCATCATCAAGTTCATTGACAAGGCTGTCCGGAACAAACTGATGTCTTTACAAAGGAACAACGCAAGGGTTTTGGGAGGTGCATACCAAACTTGGATTGGAGCTGTCCAAATATAATCTATCTCTGTGAACTTTAATCGGTTTCAAATTTTCTTGTTCTGATTATTTTTTTCTGAAAAAGTCATAGATGTAAAAAGTATATTTTCTTTTGAATCAAATTTAACATTTTATTCAAAAAAAAAGAGAACCATATCTAAAACTACCATAAATTTTGCCATTTCCACAGTATTACTATTTATTAAAAGGGAAATTGGATTGTACGGCTACAAAAAAAACATATTTCATTCAATAGCTAAAAACCCTATAATACATAGATACAGCATGCATATTACGTATAATTCCATGTATGCCCTTGAACGCAACCGGCACAACCTGTTAGTAAAAAGAAAAAAAAAATTATTACGTAGGGTTGGAAAAGTTACGCGTGAGCATCGGAGATTCACATCTTTCACACAATAACTTCTTTCTCTGTGTAAGTTTTGGAGAAGGTGAAAATTTTAAGCTGCTACTTCTGCAACCGTGATATCACAGCAGAGATCCGGCGTTTTTTTGGCTTTCCGGCAAATTTGATATCCCATATTCTGTTTTCTTTTGGCTTATCTTGTCTGATTCCCTAGCAACAGCAGCGAAACACACAACGAAGTGAATCGTAGAGTTACGGCGAATATTTTCCAAACATACTTACCTACTCTTTAAACTGAACTCCATTCCCTTATCATTCCTCGACGAGGAGGATTGACAAGCCATATCGCATCTCCAGCTTCATGAATTTCTATTCCACCTGGTGCAGATGGAATAGATCGTTTGCGGAGTTTTCCTATACTATTACGCTTGAGTGGAATAGATCGTTTGCGGATTCCGCTTTCCTATACTATTACGCTTGAGTGGAATAGATCGCTTGCGGAGTTCTCCTATACTATCTTACCCTGACATCTGAAAAAGTTAGAAACAATCTTTACATTACTATCTCAGATCTACTTTTTCCATTCTATTATTACATAGTTCAAAATATATGACCACTTCATTAGGTTCTTCGAATAAGACATTTATCGTTAGTGTACAAGAATAGTTTCCATTTCATTTTAAATAGTAGAGAATAATAGTTCAAAATTTTATATTACTATTGTATTGCACTTTAAAAATATTATAACTGGAATTAAATTTAATATTTTGGTTTGGGTTAATAAATTCAGATTTAGGGTTTAGTATTAAAGATTCAGGTTTGGGTTTATAATTATATTTAATATTTTGTTTTGGATTCAATCTTGTTCGTTGTTGTTGCATGTGTTTTATATTAATCTTATATGATTTTGTAAAGAGAAATTATATATTGAACGCAAATGGAATATGGTTTATTATGACATTAAATAAAACAGAATACAATATGATGTTGAATGCAGCATGTGATATAGATTCTATTTAGGTTTAGATATTAGTAATTAGGGTATGGGTTTAGTATGTAGAGGTTTATTTTGGCTTTTAGTAGTTTAACATAATAACAATTTATGGAAATTGAGTAAACTACCCCTTCTATACTATTTAAATTGATTTCATACTATGCTTAGTATGTTACAAGAAATTTGCAGCATATTATATACATTCTATTTAGGTTTATAGATCAATGATTAGGGTTTATTGAATAATGATTGGTGTCGAATTGTGTAATAACAATCTTAAACATCTCAAAAGTTCAGAAATTAGTGAGATGGTCTTTCCACTGATGTTATCAGATCCACTTATATTCTGTCGCCGTGAATGACTTAAGTTGATCGGAGAAGAAGTACAATATTTGTTTATTTTGTTCTGTTCTATTCGCATATAGAATAGAAATGTAAAACAATTTGTTTTATATTTTTTCTATTTCTATTATGAAATGCGAATTATTCTAATAATGTTCTATTTTATCATGTTCCATTCTATTTGATGATTACTCATCTTCCATGAAATCATAGACATTTCATTATTTCACCAATATATACCATGCTATTTATTTTGTTCTATTCTATTTGGGTTTAAGATTTATATTTGGGTTTAGGGTTTACTGATTATGGTTAAGGGTTTAGTGATTAGATTTAGGGTTTAGTATTTAGATGTGGAGTTAAGTTTATGGTTTATAGTTTTGTTTATACAAAAGGTATTATATTTGTTTTTATCAAACATAGTACTTTTATAAATGGAATAGAACATTTATATAGGATAGTTAACATATATGTGGTAATAAAACATGTGACGTGGATGTATTTGCTAGATTCATTAGTTAAGTCATCGATGTCATCTTTCTTTTTGTTTTGACCGGTAACTTATTTTTCATGAGGGTATAACCGGCTTAGAAGAAGGCTAGATGTTATTCATCCAATAACATCAAAATCATAGTCATCCACTTAATTATACTCTCAAATTTGGCTATCTCGCAAATTCACCCTTATTAAAATCTGGCTATAGTTATTTTAAATTTTGATTGTTGATCATTTTAACATCAACCATATTATCTCAAAAGATAGATACAAAAACATTATAAAAGCCACAATTTGCTTTTCTTTTTTTCTAGTTTGGCAATCCATTTAGAAATACAGAAACAAAGACATCCATCTCACATTTCTTCAAACAGATACCAATCTCTACACCACCAGTCTCATCCCTTGTCTCCGACATAGTGAAGAGAATGCTTCGAGCGAGGCTTATATTCTCGGTATTAACTGGTCTTCCCCAACCAAAATCTGACCCATATATCCCAAACTTGTTAGACCCACCAACGACCAGCCTCCGTACGCCTAGTTCCATCGCTTTTAATCCTTCTTCGTACAACTCCCATACTGACTCAACCCCTCGCGAGCTCAAACCTCTTACCGAATCGCTGAGAATGTTGACCCCATTGACAAATCCGTTTTCTCCTAGAAACGTCTTTGCTTTGTATCCAGATAAACTGTTAGGTTAGAAGCATAGAAAATTTTTTTGGCCCCTTAATTTATTTTAATATAAAAGATTTAACATAAAATAACTGATACAAATAAAGATAAGACAAAAATGGCGCCTAGCCATCTCGAACTCGGGTCCTTGATATGGTGAAGCAGCATATTCAACCACTGAACTAGTGATAATTTTGCAAAACTTGGCCCCAAAATTATATTTAGTCTCACAGGCCCCGAAGCCAATGCTTGATCCGCTTTGTATCAAGCACGGCCCTGCACACAGTTACCGAAGTAGTTCAAACGAACAGGCGGGTCTAACCGATCCCTGAAATCAGCAACATACGTAAACGGAACTAGTCTATCTGCGTCGCCTCCACGTGCCTTCACCGCACATGTCAATACATAGGCGTAACTGACTACGAAAGTTGACAGGTGAAGATCCGAGCGAGTTGACTCTCTTTTTTGCTTGCTCTCTAAGTTTCTTCACGTTCTCCTGACTCAGCTCGAGCGTAATATAGAAGGCATCTTCTGTTGGGCCATTTTATTTAAAGCCTAATGGCTATTTAATAAAAAGGCAAGTTTTGAAAAGAAATGGGCTAAAGGGTTAATAAAAAGCCTTGATAGCATTAATGAAAGAAATGGGATTTGTCCCACATCGACTAGGAGAGGTCAAATAGAGTGGTATATATATGTGTTCACTCTATCACTTGTTCAAATGGCGCATGAGAGAGACTGGACTCACCCCCCACGCGCGCGCCGCCGCCGTCCGTCCGGCGCTGGCGCTGGCGCGTGGGCGTGGGCTTGGGCTTGGGCTTGGGCTTGGGCTTTTTTGTCGGGCCTTTGGCCCGATAAGAAGTTATCTTTTTAAACAACACGTAGTTTGTGTAAAAACAACACGAAGTCTATCTGTTTGCAAAACAATTTGAACGAGTCAAATAAAAGAGAAGATCTTGCGGAGAAAGTTTATGAGCTTCCACTCCCGAGATCTCAGCGAGATTTTCGCCCACGTGCAGCAGCTGTTGCGGGAAGTGGGTCTTCTCCGTCTCTTTAAATATGGCCTCTCCTCCTTCTTCATTCTCAAATTTTTCACGCAAGTAATCCAACAGAAAACTCCCAAAGTAAGTCTAGAGAGTGTTTCGTAATTTTTTAGTTCGTTAGGTCGTTTCACGAGTGAAGCGTGATTCGTCTGCCATGGTTGTATCCTGGGACTCAATATTCGTACAGTTTCGTCTCATTACGGAGCGAATATTAAGAGTTAAGGAAAGAGATTTATCTCGCCTCCGTGTCTCATATAATCGTTTGTTTCCTTAATTCCGTCTTTCTTATATCGTCTATGTCGATCCGGTTTTCCGGCTTCTACATCTTCGATGTCCTTGGCGGGAGGAAGCTTTAGGGCTCTTACGTTATAAGGCGGGAATTCCAAGATCTTCCGTTCTAGCTCAGCTGGAAGATTGATGACCGTACGATCTAAAAGCACAGGTAGATGAAAATCTTGCGGTATTACTCCATACTTGCATATGTGAGCCCATGTTTTGAGAAATTTTACCAGAGTTTCACCGTCCACGGCAGCATGGTTCACTGAGATTCCGATGCAAAAGCCTTGGTCCGGGAACAAAGTGATTTGCAGGGCAAGAATAGCAAGCGAGTCAGAGGAGACCGGTAACTTGGGCACAAGAGGGCGTAACTCGGTCTGGTGACGCAGCCCTTTTCCTGAAACGCGAGAAAAATCTGCGTCGGTGGTCTCGGCCACTGTTAGAGACACAATGTCTTGAGGGAAGATGAAAATGTGCGGTTTCGGCACTTGTGGGTCCCACTTGAGGTGACCGGAGAGCGGGAGAAAATGAGATAGGGCGAGGCGAAGAGATTCCTCGAGCTTGGGGAGGATCAGAGAGTAGAAGGAGTCGTGAGATAACTCTGTGTGTCTGTAGAAAGTGACTCGCTCGACAGGGTAGAAGTTTAGCCACATTAAATCGAAGAAAGTGAGTGGGAGAATGAGAGGGGCGATCGAGTCTGTTGCAGGGCTAACTCGAGAGACCTTGATCACTTTTAACGCCATTGCTCACGAAGGTTATCTCCCTTTGGACTCTCTCTCTCAGATGAGCTTGGTGATATAAAAATATCAAGGGAAGGCTGGTAAATGGCAGACAGTTACATCTTTTCAAATTGAAAAGTAGGTAGGGCATCATTCATTATATTTAGTCAAAAAACATCATTCATTATATAGAGTATTTGCGCTGTATATCTTAAAATGAAAATTTAATTAGGTATTTAGTTATAGTAATTAGTATTTGGGTAACTAGTTATGGGATCTTACTCTGTTGACGACACTAAGAGCATCTCCAAAAGACACTCTATAATTTCAAATATAAAGTTTTTGTCTCTCCAAAAAGGAACTCTAAAACTTCAAATTTGAAGTTTTGAGTAGTGAAACTTCAAATATAGAGTGTCACTATTCAAAACTTCAAATTTGAAGTTTCATATTTTATTTACATTTTGGTCCTTACAATTACACATCATATTTATAATAATATTAAATATTTATTATTTATCATTTTAATCCTTAAATTTATTATTTCATAAATAGTTCAAAATTATTTTTATAAATTTAAATTTTCTATTTAAAAAAGCATCAAGATAATCTTTAAAATATTTTAAAACTAAAAGTAGACAACAACAATATTACGTGATAAATGTGGTATTTAGTTTGTACTTTAATATTTAATTATATATTTCTATTTATAGTTTTATATTTTAGTGTAACATTTTATCAAATGATATTTCTATAATATTTTTATACATGATAGTTATTTATAAAAGTTTATGAATTCGAAGTAGTTATGACAAATATAAGGATCATTATATAAAATACAAATAGTTTTAAAGTTAGGTTTGAAGTTTTGCTTTAGGAGTATAACACCTTCAAACTTCAAATATAGAGTTTTGTAAACTCTATAATAGAGAGTCTTTTTGGAGATGCTCTAAGTTATGTGTATTAAGGTCATCACTTGTATTGTATTCTTATTACAAATGTGGATTTTCATAAACTTGTAAGGTTTACTGAAAAGGACAAAGGTTAAAGAAAAAAGTTTTAAGATTTTTATTCAACCTTATAACATGTGAGACTAGAACAATGAGTCAGTGTTTTGTTTCTTGTTGAAGTTTAGTATAAAAAGGCATTTGTAAGTTCATTAAAAAAATCTTAATATATACTGATATACACATAGCTTTTTTAAGATATATTGTGGTGATTCGTGTTACAGTTTGTACTATAGTTCTTGCATCTACAGTTGATAGATTAACTTCCGTTAGAAAAAAACAATGATGAAAATTGATATAAGACAAAATAGAAATCATCTCTTTTCTGATCGCCAAAGAAGAGAGATAACGGAGAGGTTTTACCCGATTTTGTGTTTGGTTTGTATAAGTTGCTATGCTTTAGGATTCTTTAAATGAAAAACCAAATTAACCATCTACCGAGCTAATAAACCGATTTTTTAAAAAAGGCATATCAACTAACTGAATATTAAACCGAATGTAAACAAAAGCATAAATTTGGTTTGGTTTAGTTTGGTTAATCTTTGCAGGCCAGTTTCCCAATTGATTAATTATTTATTATTGCTTGGTTAATTTTGTTGGAGTTAGATAATATTGAAATAGTCGTTTTAATTTACAATTGAAGTAAAACATCGGACAATAATGTCCATGGAATTATAATACTCCCTCCGTTTCATTTTATTTGTCGTTTTAGATTTTTACACACAGATTAAAAAAATATTTAATTTTATTCATTTCAAAAAATAAACTTATCCCCTATATATTATTTGAGAATCATTTAAAAAGTTGTAACCTTAAGTTTGTAAGAATTAAAAATAACCCCAACCCTACGTGGCATAGCTCTTTGACTTCTATTTCAAATTCTAAAGATTCTCGAGCATGTGATATAATGTATAGTTTAAAAACTATCTCTAGCAATATAATATTCCGTACGCTATAGTTGGTCGCATATATCAAATATTTATTGTTTCGCATGCTTTCCTTAAATAAAACCAACAGAATTACCTAATGTGATCAAAATATATATATGACAATTAATGATTTTAAAAAATAAAGATTTGATAACAATTTGTATACTTTTTATTCATTTTGTTTATTTCTTTATTATTAAATAAATTACACAATTACATTAATCATATAATAAAAATCTAGATTTTTTTGTGTATGTCGTATTTCGAATTATTCAAAATGAGTATAAATTACTAAAACTATTAAAAGTCTCACATAAACTTTTAAGATCAAAGTTTTAATTTTTTTTTCTATACTAAAATATAATGATTATAAGACCATATGAAGAAATAATTTTAGTTTATATATATTTAATATCATTTTAATTAAACTATACATCGTATGAAAATACATACTTATATTTTGATATTTGCCTTGAACATATATTGAAAAGTTAATATTTTAATTTTGAAATATGTCATTGTTTTTTTTAAATGATTATAAATNTATGAAGAAATAATTTTAGTTTATATATATTTAATATCATTTTAATTAAACTATACATCGTATGAAAATACATACTTATATTTTGATATTTGCCTTGAACATATATTGAAAAGTTAATATTTTAATTTTGAAATATGTCATTGTTTTTTTTAAATGATTATAAATTATTGAAACTACTAAACATCTCACATTAAAAAAAAATCGTTGGTGTAAAGTTTTGTTACACAAATATGCAAATAATCATAAAATCATATGAGTAGAAACCTCATTTAATAAATATCCATATTAAAAGTGTGTTATATTAATATGTTTATATCATTTAAATTTAATTAAATGTCATATACAATATATAAGATTGATTATTTTGATTTATTTACCCTAATTGTGAATAAACAAGAGTAATAGTTAAATTTATATGCATACGCCAATTTATTACATAATAGTAACTGATTTCTTAGTTATTTAATATATATATTTATGATTTTATTATTTATAATATGCAGAAAAATATAAAATAAATAATAAATATAAAATTCTTATTGTGCATAAAGTGCAGATCTTAACCTAAATATGTATCTCTTTAATTATTTTAAATCTTAAGTATTTTATAAAACAAAGAAAATGAGAATAAAATTCAAAATAATATTTATATCGAGTAATAACCAAAATATAAAAAAAACATAGCAAGAGAAAAATGGAAGATAAATAGGACTGACACGTGAACGTAAACTTCTCATAACCATAATTAATTTTTAAATTGTTAAATCATGATATAAAACTGAGTTAATTTTTAATTTGTTAATTTTTAATTTTTAATTTTTTAATTTTTTAAATCATTATGGTTATGTTAAATCATGACCATAATTAATTTTAAATTGTTTATTTGTATTTGAAAAACTTAAAATATTTTTTTTAAAAATAATTTAAAATTTGACATAATTTTTTTATAAATTATTTTTTAAAAATAATAATTTGTAAAAAATATAATTTTCTAATATTATTAGACAGATAAATAAATTATATTAAATTAGTTTTGAAACTTTATATATTTTAAATGAAAATATTTTACCAATTGCTTCTTAAAAACCATTAGAGAACTTGCTAATACTCTACCAATCAAGTTCAGTGACACTCCAGTTATTTTTTATCATTCGAACACTGAAAAGTGAAAAGATATATGAAATCATATCCATTAAATTCTAAGATTTGATCTACATTTCTAACTAAAATTGTTTCTGATCTTACGTATAGATAATTATACAAAAATTTCAAAATTCTTAAATTTCAAATACATACAAAAACAATCATATGTAAAATTTTAAATTTGCAATACTAAAATTTTATATTTTAATTACATATATTTACCCTGCGCAAGGCGCATGTCTTATCCTAGTTATATATTAAAAGAGAAGTCATGACTTCACTTCATGTGTGATATTTTAAAATGGACCATCTAATAAAATTTATGACATTACATTATTCAATCATTAATAACATTCATTAGATTGACTAATAATATTTATTGGGCTTGTTAGAAGTTTTTATTGGGCTAATAAAAATTAGATGATCCATTAGATTTATAGATATTATAATAAAATATATATTTAAATTAAACTTATATAATTTAATATTGTAACAGTATAAGTTAATTATTTATATATTTTTGATGTTAATTTTAAAAATTATATAGTTTATTTTTAAAAATAACAAAATCATCATTTTCTAACAATAATTAATCTATACTATATAATAATTAATCATCATTTTCGATATACACACCTTATATAATATATACCAATTTAGAAGTAAAAAAAATGTTTATATAAAAATAAATGAAAACAAATACCCGAGCGGTTGCACGGGTTGAGATCTAGTTTTAACTTATTTTAATCCTCTTATATATTAAATGAGAAGTCACTTTAGTGATTTCTGGTGACGTGTCGCTCATAGGTGAAGTTTCAAGAAATTGTTATAATTTGATTGGTCGATTGTTCTTAATTTTTATTTATTTAATTTAGATCTAAATATTTAAGGTAAGTCTAAAATCATTTAACATCACTTGCCATATAATCTAAAGAATATTACAAATAACAATNAGTTTCAAGAAATTGTTATAATTTGATTGGTCGATTGTTCTTAATTTTTATTTATTTAATTTAGATCTAAATATTTAAGGTAAGTCTAAAATCATTTAACATCACTTGCCATATAATCTAAAGAATATTACAAATAACAATTTATGGAAACTAATTCTCGAAATTATAGAAAGATTAATAATGTTTTATTTATTACTTTAAATTTTTATAAACTATAAAATATAATGAAGGAAATTTTATATAAGATAATTATAATAGTTTTATACTCTAACTGATGAATTGTATTTGAATATAATTATATAATAACTATTTTAAATATTACAAAATCCAAGCATATTTATTAATATTATTTTAAAATTATTTAGCGTTTTTAATGAATAAATTTATCTGAATTTTAAAATAAGTTATAAAATGTTATAAATTATTTATAGAAAGAGATACACCAAACCTC